ATCTGTGGCACCATGGTAGAAAGGCCTGGAAATCTGCTTCCATAAAGACTGTAGCCAAGCAGAGCCTATGGGGTCATTCTACTCTGTAGCACATGGCGTTGCCGGGAGTTGGAACTGATAGGGTGGCTATGTGTTTTTTGTTTTCTGTAAAGACTTAGTTGCTATGCATTCATTGAATGAATAGTAGCTTGGTACATATTATGAACCATTCAGTGTTCCTAGAGCCAGGGACGTTGTGAAGAGCACGTCAGATGCAGCCTCTGATTCCACAGGGGTAAGTCGAGGGACAGAAAATATCAGACAGCAAACAGGCCATTCATGTCCAAAGTCACGCATGTCCTTTGCACCTGTTTCCTCCTGCTGCCATCAAAACCCACCGCAAACACGGTGGCCTTCTACAACGCAAGTTTGCTCTCTCAAGATTCCAGGGGCCAATGATCTGAAATGAAGGCGTTTACAGGACCACATTCTCTCTGAAGGCGCCAGGGAAGGAGTGGGGGTCGTCTGGCCAATGAGCCATATAAGGCCCCGTAAAATCATCAATACCAAATAACAGCAACAAAGAGAAGTGAGCGCAAGACTTGTGATTTGTTTCAGGAACAGCTGGCAGGCCAGCGTGTGGAGAATGGTGGGAGAGGATTGAGAGACGAAGTTGTGGAAAGTCATCTAGAATTGTCTACTACAGTGATACGGGTCCTCACCTAACTGAACTCACTGCCACTGAGTCAATTCCAACTCATAGTGATCCTATAGGACAGTGTTGAACGTCCCCAGTGGGTTTCCAACTCTTTATGCAAGTAAAATGCCTCATCCGGTACTTCAAACCAGTAGGGAGTTGGCTTTGGTTACCCATTGTCCCGTAGGGGCACTTTGAGTTGGCATGGATTGGAAGGCAGTGAGTTTGGTTTGGCTTGCTCTGATAGAGTGCCACCTGGTGCTCAGCCATGAAGTCAGAGGCTGCTAATTTCTCAGAACTACTGCTGGGCGTTGCCTGCACGGCGACCCTCTATGTAGAGTTGAACTTCTTCAAACTGTTTTTCAGGCTTGACCTTTTAGAACAGACTGGCCTCTTTCTCCAGTCTCACAGGGATTGCGTTGACTTCCCATGTCCATAGCCAGCTTTGTTAAACCTTCAGGACCCTCACCCCCTGGACTTGTTATGTATCTACCAGACATAGCCCCGTGTTCTTTAAGTTCCCTGCCTACCGCTTCTGCTGTCTCTGCTTTTTCTCCTTGAGCTTGCACCTCCACCTATGCCCAGGTGTTTTACTGAATATCTCTAGATAAAGATTTGACTACAACACACACAAACAAACAAATCACACCAACAATTTGCCCCAGTGCCCTACTTTCCAGTTTGGTTAAAAGGGAAGAAGAAGCGTTTGAAGTTGGCAGCTATCTCGACCTCCACACATGCAGCCTTCCTCTGTTTCACAGATGAAAGAAGTGGGATCCAGAGAGGCTGGGGTTTGTCTAAGGCAATAATTCTCAACCTGTGGGTCGTGACCCCTTTGGGGGTCGAACGACCCTTGATTTTTAACAGTAGCAAAATGACAGTTATGAAGTAGCAGCAAAAATAATTTTATGGTTGGGGGGTCACCACAACATGTGGAACTGTATTAAAGGGTCAAGGCATTAGGAAGGTTGAGAACTACTGGTCTAAGTCAGTGGAAAATGTGGCCCCCTGAATCACAAGTCAAAGTCTCACGCAATAATTACTTACTGAATCAAAAAAAATTTTTTTCTGTGTCCTAGTAGATGGATGATATCTTGTGCTAGGTGCAGAGAATTGGGTTGAACAAGATAGACAATGGTCTTTGTCCTCAAAGAATTCATAATTTAGTTGATGGAGATTTAAGTATCACAATAATTACATCCTGTGTTAAGGGAGGTAAAGAAAATGGAACAGGCACTATAATAGAGAGGGAGTGTTGGGCGGTGAGAATGGTTAGCAGGCTTCCCTGCCAAGGGAAGGTTGGATTGAGACCACTCCCAAGTGTCTCCAAGTGTCAGCCCTTAAAAACCTCATGGAGTTCAGTTCTACTCTGACATGCATGAGCTCTTCATGAGTCGTTGTTTACCTGGTGGCCGTGGGTCGCTGGTTATAATGGAGTCATTGGCATGGGTGGTGAGAGGGCTCTACTTTAGATGGATGACCGGAGAGACCTCTCTTAGGTGACTTTTCAGATGAGGCATAAAAAGGGAGGAGAGACTAGGCATGTTGTGAGGTGAGCAGGAGGTTTTTCGACAGAGGACCCACTGTCTTCAAAGACTTGGCACAGGAAAGTCCCCTTGGCATAGGAGAGTACTAGTGTTCTTGAGAGGAGGTCCTTGTGGCTTGGTGGACACAGCGAACAGGCTCCGCTTCTGAGCAAAAGATGTGAGATTCGAGCCCACCATCTCGGAAGAAAGGCGTGGCGATTCATTTCCTAAAAAGTCAGGCAATGCTCGCCTGCTCTGACAGACATGGCATCACCAGGAGCCGGAGTCACATGGTGACATCTGGTTACTGGTTTGGTAGGTTGGCTGGAGGGCAGGGAATAGTGAGGAGCGGGGACCTGATAGCCTGGGTGGCAGAGGGCAGATGCCCCAGTCTAGCGAGTCCTGCCGAAGAGTGTGGATTGTGTTCTAAGAATGGTAGGAAGTCAAAGGCCAATATAGACTGTGCCTAGAAGACACAGTGTTTTAGGGGGGTTAGTTTTCACACGACAGCTGTTTGAAAGCATACCTTCGACCAAAGGAGAAAATCTGATCATGCTTTGGCACTGAAATCTGACAAAGATAAAACTTTGGAGATCCATATTGCCAAAGTCCATTATGTTTCTGGAGTCCAGTGGATAAGTATGTTGGAATAGTTTATGAAATTTATAAAATCAGTGAAATACACTAGCAGCATGCAGGAAAGGGGCCGACGACGATGTATAACTGGGACTCCCACAGGCTGACTTGGAGCTACTGTGGGAGGTGTTCCCGACCACAGCAATGAAGCGTCGGAAGTGTGCAATCCTACTCTGAAGAAGGGGGAGTTACTGCAGGATGACCCACCTGTGACCCGAGCCACAGAGTGAACCGCTGTCGTAACTGGAAAATGGCACCAGCATGTTTGCCTGGCCAAATTGCCACAAACCTTCACTTAAAAAAATGTAATAAAGCAAAGCACAATAAAACACGCCATGTCTGTATTTTCTTGGCATGGTCCACTGAAACAATAAGTATGAATCAAAACATTTTCATCACCCACGACACAGAGTGGGTCTCTCTTCACCTGGAACAATAGAGGAGGGGTCAGGAAATGGAGCCTATGGCTCATCACCTCCATGGACAACTGCCTCCTTGGCCAGGAGCAGCTGGTGGGTGTGAACCACCGATCTTGGAGTAAGCAGTCTAACGCTAATTTAGAGAGGGGAAATTACTCAAGAAGCCGTATTACTAAAGCCCAATTTTAATAGAGAAAAGTAGAATGGTGGAATGAAGCCTAGACTGTTGGGAGATACATTTCCCAAATGCCAGACTGAGAAGAAAAAATAAAAACCAAGGCATGTTGATATCGTGTGTGTCTTCTTCTTCTTTTTAAAAAGTATGCTCTAAACAATGGATTGAGTCCTTTGAACTGTCCCACAGAGGCACAGTTGAACGCTCTGCAATTATCTTCTTAGCAGCCCTGCCTTCTTCTTGCTGAAGTACTCCTGGCCAGAGGGATAAACGCCCAATAATTGCTCTAATCCCTCCCTTTCTGCAAAAAGATGGAGAGAACTCAGATCAATCTTCTTAGAGCCTATTATACCTTATTGCACTAAATTTCATTTTAATTAAAATAGATTTAGAGTTGTTAGGGAGAGAGCTGGGAAAAGTTGGTGCAAGATCAAAGTTTAATTCTTATTGCTCAGAGTTCTGTGCAGGATCATTCGAGGAAATGGGTACTCTCTTTTCAAGCACTCAAATTAAAAATTTTCAGTCCAGATACTAATCTAGAATGTATTTAGTATATCCATCTAGCACTTAAATCACAGATGCTGGAAATATCTGAGCTCTTCAAACTGTAGAGTAAATGTATTGTTTAAAGAACATAAAAACCACAACACACATGGTTGAAAACGAATGAACCTTAGGATTCAATCCTGTTTGCCAGACACTTGTTACTCTCTTGTCTCAAATTAATAACAATAAGTTAATAAACTAATTGAATAAGTGAAATGGGGACTTACTAGATTATGTGTTACACATATGGATGATTTTGTTTGAAAAAATATAGACATTGGGAGACACAATATCAAGAATATATCTTTATAAAATTCAGCAGCCCATTTTTTGTTTAAATTCTTCATTTCTAGTTGACTTGAAATAATGTATAGGATTTTTGTTTGCTTGTTAGTTGACTGATGGGATTTAACTTTCATACCTTACTTTAGATCGCCCTCTTACATCATCATGTGCTCTCCCATTCATTTTGGAAGAATGGCAAATCTTTTCAGAGGGGACCCCCTATCATCGAGCTTCATTCTCTGTTGGGAGATAAACTTCCTGTTAGAATATAAGGTAGAGGCTTAAAAAAATTTTTTTTAAAGCAGGGAACTAATTAAGAGGCTTACATTCAGAACAAACTCTTGTTGTTCGGATATACTAAAACCTTGCCTATTGGGCTGTCCAGAGGAAAGCCTACTCAGGCCGTCTTCCTGTGGTTCTAAAGTTTAGAGGTCTGTTCATCAGAGTCCCTCTTTGTTTTTGTAACAGAGCTTTGAATGTGACACAAGATGATTCTTCTCTTATTTTTGGTAAGGAAGGAGGCATCTACTATATGCTTAATTCTCTTTTGATAATTAAACATTTTTTACTTGCTATTCAAACAGATTCTAAGTCATGTCCCCTCTGAAAGGGGGGTTTTGTGTTCTCTGTAGAAATAGGGATGAGTCTGTTCACAGAGGCACAAAGGTAACACCCTCTTTATGTTTCCGTGTTGCCGCTGACTCTGGTCCATGGCCACCCCGCGTGCCGAGCAGAACGGTTCTGTAGGGTTTTCAAAGCTGGGATCTCTTGGAAGCAGATGGCCAAACCTGTCTTCCAGGGCACCGATAGGTGAGTTTGAATCATCAACTTTTTGGTGAACAGACCAGAGCTTAACCATTTGGGTCACCCAAGGTGACCATGATACTCCTATAATTTGGTTTAATTTCTGTTTACAGCCCCATTCCACCAAGGGCACAAGATTAATTGCAGGTCATTTCGGTCTTCTCCCCAACACACACACAGACACACACACAGTCTTCTCCAGGATTTCCTCTATGTTCCATAGGCTTATGAAGTCAAGGCATCAGGGAGCGGTCTGTCCACCCATCCTCATTCCCGTCTTGCTCCCATCTTGTCTCTGTGTGATGGCTTTCGCAAAAAACTGCTATGAACACCACAGGCCTTTTGAATGTGGAATGATGCCTTATCATCACTTGGCTCTTTCTATACCTTGCTGGGATGTGGAGAACTCTGAGGCTATGTTACGTCCATCTTCCAGACAGGGGGCCAGATAGTGCTACTCAACGCTTTTGAGTAATTTTGAATGTGAGAGAAACAAGATCGCTTTCCCATGTTCTTGGAGACCATAGACCAGAATGGGTTTTTCTGGATCTGCCTTTTGAATTACCTGAGAGCTCCACCAGTGCTCAAATAGCAAGCACGTTTTAACTCAAAATCCAGAGTCAACAACTCCAAGGTGTCGGCATCTTTGTTCTGCCATTCACTGATTTCAGAAGCTGTTGGGGGCGACAATGGGGACACGGAAATGTGCTAAGTAGGGTGCTAAGTAGGGGTGATAAGAAAGAGCCCATCTCCTTTTTTTCCATGGGAGAACAATGGGGCAGCTACTTCCATAAGGATTCCCAGCTTTGGGGAGCCCAGGCGGCAGTTCTGCTCTGTCACATAGGATCAGTATGCATTGGAATTCATTTGATGGCAATGGGTGATAGGTTATACAACTCAAAACCAAACACATTGCCATCAAATCAATTTCAACTCATAGTGACCCTGTAGAACAGGGTAGAACTGCCCTTGTGGGTGTCTGAGACTGTCACTCTTCGCTGGAGTAGGAAACCTCTTTCTCCTGTGGAGCAGCTGGTGGTTTTGAACTGCTGACGTTGCGACTAGCAGCCAATTGTGCAACCAGGTTGACATCAGGGCCCCTTCTAGGTTACAGGACTCTGATTTTCTCAAAATGTTATCCTGTCCAAGGTAAAAAGGTGTTGCATGTGGTGTTTTTGTGGTTCTTGCGAAAAGAAGAAAAATAGCAGAGTATTGATTTGAAAAATCAATGATCATACTTCAGGTTGCCTAAGGATTTGGAGCATGCTGGGACCATAATGACACCAGGAGAGGTGAGTAGATGGGGCAGGGAATCAGCGCAGCCAGTGTGGGGACCTGCTTTTGTCAAGGCCTATTTAGGGAGCAGGTGTTTAGACGAAGAAGCAGGTGTTTGGAGAAGAAGCTGGCACAGAAGTTCAGCTGATGAGCAAGTGGTATCTGCTCATTTCTTGCTTGTGGGCCCTTTGCCAGTGGCTGCCCGGTCAGCTCTGAGCCATGACTAGCCCACATAGATCAGGGTTTTCAAGGGCTGGTTTCCAGAAGTGGATCACCAGACCTTTTCTCAAAAATGTCTCTGGGTGGACTCGGATGGCCAACTTTTCTCCTAAATCGTGCTAAGAGTTTGCACCACTCAGGGACTCTGAGCAGGCCGCACAGATTTTGTTATGAGCCGCTTCAATCCACTCCACCCACCCCATCTTCTTCTCGACCTCTGTAGAGGGAACTGGTTATTCAGTCTTCTCAATCCACCCCACACCCATGCCTCCCTGCGAAAGAAACAACAGAACTCTGAGTCTTCTCTATCCATCCTAGTAGCCCACACGAATTGCACTGTTCCCCCGTGACCCTCCCGGCCTCCTCTTAATGGCTCCCATTATGGCTTCCTCAGAGCCCCAGCTGAGCTGATCAGCACCTCTCCTGAGGTCAAGATTTGAGCAGATCGGTAACCACAGCTTAAAACATTTTTGCACGTGCTTTTGTGGTTCACAGCAGCTCTAACATGCAATGTTAGGAGCAGCCAATTTGCTTCTACGTGAGAGGAAATGGGCAGAGAGAGATGAGTAACCAAGATCGGTAAAGTTCTCTAGGGTTAAGTCCCCGGCCCCAGTTTTTACCTTCGATAGGACCACCAGCCCCATAAAGGCAGGCTCCGGTCACATCTTTCATGATATTGTATGTTTTGTGCCTTGCCCAGTGCCTGGGACACAGCAGCACACAACACATATGCGTAGAATAGGTGAATGACGCATCCCCTTAGTGTCTCCTTTTGTATCTTGGTGTCTCCTGTTAGTAAATACTACGAGGCTTGCCTTAGGAAGATTAGTAAATTACTATTCAAAGGGTGAAAATGATTAAAGATGTTTGGCTACTGACCAAAATGCGGGGGTTCCCATCCACCCAGATGTGTTTTAGAAGAAAAAGTTGGTGATCTGCCACTGAGAAATCGGCCATTGAAAACCGAATGGAGCACAGCTCCACTCTGACCCACTGGGGGCTACCATGAATTGGCATCAACTTGACAGGAAGTGGTTTCGGTTTTGGATGAATTCTCCAGACCTCTTGGTAATTAGGTATACTGTTCCACCATTCATACATCCATACCCTCATTCATACCATACATTCATCCATACATTCATTCATACCCTCTTCATAGAGAACCTCCTTAGGCCAGGCACTTTTAGGAACGGGACATAAAAGATCAAAAGAACATGAACATCAAGGGACTTCTAACCAAAGTGGTGCAGGATAGGCCTTGAAAATGGCACAAGCCATTAGCAGGGGGTGCATCTCTGGCCCTAACCCTGTCTCTGATTTCCTCCAGACTTGCCCCTTCACTGGAGGGCTTCCCCTGGAGCCCACGAGTGGTCCTTCCCCAGCTGTCGGAAGACACATGTTCCTGCGACAGAGAAGAGCATCGGTCTCCAGCTCTGTTTACCAGAGAGATGTGTTTCTCTGCCTGATCTTACCCAGCAGAGGCAAGCCCCTATATCAGGTGTCTAGACCTTCTCCGTCGGGGGCGTCTTCGGCCACATCTTCCTTGCTGCTGTGGGCCTGGCTGGCTCCCATCTGCCTCCTCCTGAAATCTCAGTAGCATCCAGATGGCTCTCCCCTCTTTTCTATGGGATACATTACCTCCTAGTCTCTCTCCTGCCCCCACCATGATCTCCCTAACTATCTCAGGGCTGAGAGGATAGTTCTGGCTGCCCTCAGCCTCCTTCTTCTTCTGAGGTCAGCTTCCCTCCCAATTCATCCACAACGTTGGACTACGTCACTGCTGTTACTCATCATTCATGGAAGGCATCCCTTATGCTGAGCACATTACATGCTTGTCACCAACCCTGCCAGCAAGGTGATTCCAACTCATCGTGACCCCAGATAACAGAGGAGAGTTTCTGAGGCTGGAAAATCATTATGGAAGCAAATTGCCTCACCAATCTCCCTTGCAGTGGCTGGTGGGTTTGAAGTACCAACCTTTTGGTTAGGCGTCCAACACTGTGCTATCAGGGATCCTGTAAAACCTCTTACCAGCCAAGGAGGTTGGTTGTATTTTCTCCATTTTATCAATGAGGAAGCTGACACCCTGGGAACGTAACTGTGCAAGGTCAAACCTAGCTACAGTCTGGATGTCTCACTGCATCCGTGCACGTCAGTGCCCATTCTCCACGAGGCCCGTGGGAGCGACCTGTTTAGGAAGAGATGGTTCAGACAGGGTCCACGGGACTGGAGGGCGCGAAACCCGGGTCCAGGAAGCTCATTGAGGCAGCACATTCATCTCACGCACATCCCACCCACACTCACCCCTCAATTTTTGTGAGCGATGGGAGGGCTGTCCCCATCTCCGTGTGACTCAGACGGTACCACAGGGCCTGTGCAACTCCCCTGCCTTTGAGGAACCTCGGTTGGGCTGAGCAATGAACATTTTTTTATGATGGGAATTCATACATTGGTGAAAATAGAACACTGTGATGCACATCAAGTGCCCACCACTCAGGTACAGCAATGAGCAGCAAAAGGCCATCGGAGTTGAATGCATTCGCCCGCCCCATAACCTCCACAAGGAAATCAGTTGGATGCAAATTTCACCACCATATACTTTCATCCATAAAACTTTCACATGCGCCTCTAATGAAACACGCTATCATCCTACCTTACCATACCTTTAAATAATGACCCAGACAAAAATCAAACCCAGGCCCACTGGGTCCATTCCAAGTCACAGAGACCCCGTCCAGGGTTTCCGAGGCCGCACACCTTCGCAGGGACTGCAGCCTCTTCTTCCTTAGAGGAGCTCTCGGGGCTGCCGACTTTATAGTTCGCACTCTGATGCTTATGCCGGAGTGCCTCACAAAAACCAGAAATCCTAATCATAATTCCTTGTATCAGCTGTTCCATCAGAGTGCAAATTCTCAGCTGAACCGCATACTTTGCAAGATTGGTATGTTCGGTTCAGAATGCCTCCTTCCAGAAAAGGGCCCCCACGTGGCAGGTGTCTGAAACACCTCTGAAAGCTCTCTACTCTGTAGGCTCGCCTTTCCTCTTTGCTTCTCATGCATGAGACCAACCTGTCCTATGAAAATACAAAAGCAGAGACTTGGCAAGTGATTTGTCAGCTCTCACATAAATTCAACAGGGTTTCTTAGCCTTGAAGGAGCCCTGGACACAGTGGGGTATGCGGTAGAGGGCTAGTCACAAGCTCAGCAGTTCAATCCCACAAGCCATTCTGAGGGAGACAGTCGGCTCCCGTAAAGATCTACAGCCTCAGGAACCCGCAGGGACAGTTCTACTAAGTCCTATATGGTCACTGCGAGTTGGAACCAACTTGACCTTGGCGAGTCTTCTTAAAATGCAGAGTCTGATTCAGTCGGTGTAGGTATGGCCGGACAGTCTGTATTTCTAATAGCCTCCCGGTGATCCAAGGCCCAGCTGGTCTGGGGCCCCTTCTCTGCAGAGCCAAGCTACTGAATGCCACCGGAACAATTTTGCTGATTTTACTCATTGCATTCCTACAGCGCTTCTCTGTCTTCTCCACTCCCAGTAACTGTGCATCTGGAGACTTGATTGAACGCCAGGTTGCAATGGTTAGCTCTCAGCTGCTGACTGAAAAGAGGTGGTTCCAGCCCACCAGCTGCCCTGTGGGCTGATAGAAGCTGATCTGCTTCTATCGACTTGACGGGGCAGGAAGCCCTATCGGGCAGTTCTATGCTGTCCGCTAATGTCACTACAAGTGGGTGTTGACTGAGGCTGTGAGCTGTGCTGGTAAGGATCCTTTAAAGGCATGCTCACCACGGCACCCCATGGAGTCACATTGTGCCTGATTGTCCCACTCTTAGTCATGCCAGCTGCTTAGAATCATCAGGCTGATCTTTCCCTTAGAGAGCCTCTTACTAAGACGTTAAGTGGCCATTAAGAACCATGGCTTAGACTAGGGACTCTTCACTCTGTCTGCCCAGAAGAGGCATCGAGAAACCATTCAAAAGACATCAGTGGTAAGTCCTACTCAGAGCATTGAAATCGGAATTTCTGGGCATGAATCCAAGATCTGTGTGTGGTATATGTGGTAGTATGTGTGTGTGTGTGTGTGTGTGTGTGTGTGTGTGTGTGTGGTGTTGTGTTGGTGGTGTGTGTGTGTGTGTGTGTGTACATGCCCACGCACACGCGTACAAGTGGGCAGGTATTAAGTATCCTGTTGTGAGGTGCCATCCAACTCCCAGCAGCCCTGTGTGTGCAACAAAAGGAGACACTGCCCGGCCGGGCCCCAACCGCACAATTGTTACCTCTGAGTCTTGCTGCCCCATTGCGTCAAGTCTCTTAGATGATGCTAGCAGGCAGCCAGTGCTCATTAAAAACCACTGGCCTCCTCTTCTTTATAGGACTGAACTACTGAACTGGATGATAGGAAAATTACATGCCAATAAAACTACTAAAAAACAAAGCAAACCATTGACCTGGATCATTTACTGTGATTTCCAAACTGGTGCTGTTTTTCATCTATACATTGTTCTACACTTATTTTTGCTGAGCTCTCCCTGCATCTACGTGCCATTTTAGGATGGCAGCCCGAAGAAACGCTCACACCCCTTCCACTCCTAATGCCCCCTCCACCGCTCCCAGAAGCCTGCTTACTGGTTAGGGGCCCCTGCAGGCACCCCGAGGTGCCTTGGAGTATCCCGGGCCCCCACCCAAGTCTACTCTTCCATAACCCCGATGGGCCATCTGGGGTGAGAAGGAGATGGATTTTAAATTTCTATATTTCTGTCCTCTTTCTTTCTGCATGCCATTCTGTCCCATTTTACTCCTCACGCATGAACACAGATTGTGTTTCTAATGAAGACATTTTCATTTTCCGGGGGGAGGGAAGGGGGGTGTGACAAGGCTCACTTTGCCTAACTCTGCAGTTTTGCTTTAAATCCCAGTGAGTCACTGAAAATCCTCTTGACTTCACCCCAGCTTCAGAGGATGCCAGAGCTAAAATACAGAGATTAACTTGGAAATCAAAACACTCTGGCTTCTCCTCATCCCACCCAGTTTCTCCAGCCTGGGCTTGTCTTGGTGGGAGGGGAGTGGGGCCCCTGGATAGAAAAAGAGAGTGAGGTGGCAGTGCTCAGACAT